ATTAATAGTGTAATAGTTAAAAGCAAAGTATTAATAGTGCAAAAACAACGCGCCAAAAACAACAGCAGCACGAACATGAGTCAGTGTGAGCAGATGAGGACCAATGAGTCAGAGTCAGAGATTCTTTATTGTCGTTCGCACCTCATGTGGTACATGTGGTGGGACAAAATTATGTACACAGGGTCCCAGTTACATCCAACAATAAAATGTAAAAGAAAAACAGTAATAACATCTAAGATATGAACTAAGAAAAACATCAACTAAAAATCCACTAAGCACTAACAGCATAAAAACTTTACATTGACCAGCAGCACCAACATGAGCATAAGCATGAACACATGAACAATGAACACAGCAACACGAAATAATCAGCAGCGTGAAAGCAGCATCATGGATAGTCAGTAGCACATGTCAACAACCAAGTGGCTTCACAGTGATTATTCTGGTTAGAGATTCATGAGTCTAACAGCCTCAGGGTAGAAGCTGTTCCTCAGTCTAGTGGTTCTACACTTAATGCTCCTCAACCTCCTTCCTGAGGGGAGTGGGGCAAAAAGTGTGTGTGCTGGGTGAGTGAGGTCCTTCATGATGCAGGTGGCCCTCTTCCTACATCTGGAGGTGTAGATGTCTGTGATGGTGGGGAGCCTGTAGAAGGAGGTGAGGACTGAGCTTCCAGACCAGCTCGTCTCAGCCGTCTGAGGAAGTAGAGTCTCTGATGATCTTTCTTCATCAGGCTGGTGGTGTTGTTGCTCCAGTTGAGGTTGTCATTCAGGTGTACACACAAGTACTTGTAGCTGGAGACCACTTCCACTGCAGATCCTCATATGTTCGGGGGGGTAGATGTGTTTATTCCTTCTGAAGTCCATGACCATCTCCTTTGTCTTATTCATATTGATGTAATGGTGCTTCTTCCTGCACCAGCTCTCCAGGTGTTCCACCTCTTGCCTATAGCTGGACTCATTGTTTGTGATGCATCGCGCCACCGCTGTATCATCTGCAAACTTTACAATGTGACAGCCTGGATGGGACGGTACACAGTCATATGTTAGCACAGTGAACATGAGGGGGCTCAGCACACAGCCCTGGGTGGAGCCTGTGCTGAGCCTATGGTGGAAGAGGAGAAGTCATGGATTTTCACAGATTGTGGTTTGTTGGTTGCTAAATAAATAGAAACGGATGTAGTGGAGTTGAGATGGAGAAAGTGTCACCCTTCTTCCTCCATCTCTCCCTTCATTATTGCTACATGAACAAGACCCCAAGATGCTTAAACTCCTCCACTTGGGGCAGGACCTCCTCCCAGACCCGGAGGGGGCACTCTACCCTGTTCTGGCTCAAGACCATGGCCTCGGATTTGGAGGAACCGATCCTCATCCTGGATGTGTCACACTCGGCTGCGAACCGCTCCAGCGAAAGCTGTAGATCACGACCTGATGAAGCCAATAAGACCACATCATCTGCAAAAAACAGAGACGAGATCCTAAGGCCACCAAAACGGATCCCTTCAACACCTTGGCTGCTCCTAGAAATTCTGTCCATAAAAGTTATGAACAGAATTGTGACAAAGGGCAACCTTGGCGGAGTCCAACTCTCACCGGGAACAAGCCCGACTTACTGCCGGCGATGCGGACCACTGCCAAAGCAATTCATCAAGACTGAGTTAAGTTGAACACACTTTGAACACCGTATGACACCATGTGTACTTGTTTAGCAACGTGTTGGCCATTGGTGTCAGAAGTATTTTTAAATGGGGGGGCGGGGGTGACTGGGGGTCGTCCCCCAGAAAATTTTGAGTAGTAGATGCCATTTCCTGCATTCTGGTGTATTCTAATGTGGTTGTTTAACATCTAGTTTTACCTACATAAGTAAACTTGATTCAGTAACTATTTTAGAGTTAATGGCACAACAAGAAGTAACCTGACCAACAGCTGATTCAATGAATTCAAAATATTATATATTCAAAGGTGATGATTTGATGCCCAAATTAAAATTAAATAACTAACTTAGTTGACTTCAAAATGAAGTAAGATGACCAATGAATGTTTGTGACAAAGGATTTATTAATTATAACAAAGATTCCTTCAAGAAACCTCCCAGTATAAATCATAAAACCAGAATGACTTCTGCTCATTCTAAATTTGTCAAATGGCCTAAATCTCCTAAAGTGAAGGAGAATCATTTTAAAATAATAATAAATAATCTTGTAGCCATGTTTCTGCAAAGAAGATTTAAATTTGATGTTGATTTGTGTGTCTTTTGTCAATCACAAGATGAATCCCTCGAGCAATTTTTTTCATGTCAATACAAAGTGTTTGGTCAGACATCAGAAACTGGATTAATCTCAAAATTAATATTCATTCATTTGATGCTGATGACATTTTACTTTATGTGGATAACTTAAGCTCAGCTTTCTCTGATGCCATAAATAAAGTCGTACTTATAGCAAAGTACAACATTCACTGAAGTAAGAGGAGAGATAATAAGTCCTCCTTCCTGTTTGATGAATGGTTTGAAGTCATACTATTCTTCATTAAGTACAAATAAAAAAAAACTGTAAAACTGCCAGAATCATCTCATAACAAATAAAAACTTATTGTTTTAATTAAAACAACAAGTTTTTCATATAGTCGTGCTCCTTTGTTTTGAATTTATTCAATTTTTTATGGGTTTTTTTCTCTTTCATTATTTTGTGAAATCTAGTTATGACACTAAGTCCATGCTCAATAATCCAGGTATAAAATCCAACATTTTTCAGTCAGGTCATCTGGACAGTTTCTTTTTTTGTGCTGAAATGTTTCGCCTTGGATCCAGAAGGCTTCATCAGTCAAGGAAACACACAACAAAACTGATTCTTCCTCCAACAGCTTACTCCAAAGTGGAACAAACCAGTTCTATTTCGTATAGGCTTCGCCCTTTAAGGCTGTCGCTGATGGGTTTATCCCGTTATGCGAAGCATCACACTGAAAAGTTTAGTCAACGCCCACCTGCTGTGTGGGCCCCACCCGGTCCGTATAGGTTACGTTAAGAGCGGGTAATCGGCTCCCAATTTTCTTCAGCAAGCTAATAACACTGACCTTCTACAAGATGTCCAGCTCCAACACCATCCGCTTGTGTCCATCTTGCAAGACCGGTTACTTGCTCAGCTTTGACCGGCACGACACCTGGAAGGGATGCCTGGGTCCCCGCCACGTCGCCCGCGCTTCCTCCTGCCGCCTCTGTGACGATCTTCCACCGGAGGAAAGGCAGAGGAGAGCAGCCTCGTTTAAGGCTAACGTCGATGACTGCCTGTCCGTGGCGGGAGAATGTTCACTGGACGACGCGATCGAATTCTTCGACGCCGGCTCTCGGAGCGAATCGGATGGTTCCTCTGGGACTGGCGATGTCAGCAGCAGCCCCAATGCTCGCTCCCTCCCGGAGAGCGCAGTGTTGGAACGAGGGGGGCCAAGCAGATGCTCGACCCCTCCGGGCCTTCCCGCCTCAACGGCCACATCGCTCCCTGCCGTCGGTGCACTCCTATCAGAGTTGCCCGACATTATCCGGGAAGCTGCTGACATGAAGGGACTTTTTGTTCCCTTCCACCCACCCAGTGAGGCGAGGACAACATCCGCTTCGCCCTTAACCCATCAGCGACAGCCTTAAAGAGCGAAGCCTATATGACATAGAATGTTGGTTACGTACTGTAATCCCAGATTCTATGAATATAGGTGTAGCCCTTTAAGCGTCGAGCCTCACTGGCTCCTAAATGGCTGAAGAAAAAAGCTATTTGGGAGCCGATTACCCGCTCTTAACGTAACTTATACGGACCGGGTGGGGTCCACACAGCAGGTGGGCGTGGACTAAACTTTTCAGTGTGATGCTTCGCATAACGGGATAAAACCCATCAGCGACAGCCTTAAAGGGCTACGCCTATACTCATAGAATCTGGGGTTACAGTACGTAACCAACGTTCTGCTTGTGATAAGATGGCCTCTTTGGTACGCCCCTCCTCCATTGCTGGCCCTCTTCCTTGTTGACAGTCTTGTCAAACTGGTTGAAAACAACAAAGTCCATGCTCAATAATCCAGGTATAAAATCCAACATTTTTCAGTCAGGTCATCTGGGCAGTTTCTTTTTTTGCGCTGAAACGTTTCGCCTTCTATCTGGAAGGATTCATCAGTCAGGAGTGTACTAAAGAGACCATCTTATCACAAGCAGAACTGGTTTGTTCCACTTTGGAATAAGCTGTTGGAGGAAGAATCAGTTTTGTTGTGTGTTTTCTTGAATGATGAAGCCTTCTGCTGTAGATCGAAGACGAAACGTTTCAGCACAAAAAGAGAAACTGTCCAGATGACCTGACTGAAAAATGTTGGGTATGGCACTCTTCAGTCTTCACGAGTTTGTATTTGTTTATTGTTGCATTGTTCTGTTTTGTGTTGTTAATAAAGTTCTAGGGGGAAAAAACCTGATGGACTTGTCAGCAGTTATGGGGCGTTTACTTTCGGGATAAATAGAGGTCATGGATTGGTCAGTTGCTGACATGCCTACTGGATTGATTGACAGGTCGTGCAGTGGAGGATCAAATAAACTAAACAGAGCTGCAGTAGCGGCGCTGGGAAGAGGCAGGGCGGCCCAGTGCAGCAGTGGTCTGTGTGGCGCAGGGCTCCAAGTGAAGCAGGAGATAACCAGATATTTTGCTTGTGCCCTCACTGCCCTGGGCCCCTTAGAGATCGTGGGCCCCTGGGCACTTGCCCAGTTGCACATATGGTTAATCCGGCCTTGCTCCTGCTGAAGAGGAGCAGAAAGCTGCAACCTCACCAGGAGGTGCTCCTGCTCCTCCTTCAGTAGGAAGAAATGAAGTGAAGAAATCAAACCAAGCTGCAGATTTCAGAGGAACATTTGCTTTTATGAGTGTCAGACACAGAACAGAACGTCTCATTTACAGTAAAAATGTTCAGCTTCATGAAACCCAGATGGGAGAACGGCTTGGTTCTGGTGCAGGAAACGGCCAATCAGAGCTGGGGAACAGCTCACACAGACATCTGTGGCTGAGAATACTTGTCCTCACCCTCCTTCTCCTCCAGAAGAGGCTCTGCATCGTCAGCATCCAGCTGCAGGACCAGAGGCCAGAGTCAGAGGGTGACCATGTTATCTCAGTGATTACATCACAGTGATGTCATAGGTTACTTACGCTCTGCAGCTCACGGCGACTGAAGATGCGGGGCAACAGCAGTATCCTGAGAGGGATGGTCAGCAGCAACATAAAGGGAAAGGCCAGTGCCACAGCTGTCGCCATAACAACCCACAGCAGAGACAGACATATCAGCTGGACCAGCGTGAACAGATGCATCCTTAATGTCCTCACCTGTGGACAGGTGAGACAAGTCCAGTGAAGACCCCAAGTCGAGGACAGGAGGAGCAGGACCAGCACACTAGACCTACCTTACGGATGAAGTTGTGGTTTGGGTGGTACTTTGGGGGCATGAGCAGCAGGATGAGGCGATCTGTCAGCTGGATCCCGTTCAGGGACATGACACCCATGTAGAGAAAGATCCCAAACAGAACAGCTAGAGGGACCTGACACAGAACCTCTCCCATTACAATGGACAGACCTGACAGAACAGAGATCGGCTCAGGATCTGCAGCATCTGACCGAGAGCCAGTGATGGTGATGGAACTCACCCACTAAAACGGCCACCAAAAACCCTGTGACCCTCTGCTCCTTGACCTCCTGAACATGAGGTTTTTCATCTGGGACAACAGATTTACTCAGAACAGTTAGAGCGTTGGTGTGGGTGACGGACCGGACCGTGGCAGCCGATAACCATGGCAGACCAAACAGAGCAGAGACTCCGCCCACCACCACGATGATGAGTAGGTCTAAGTGGAACCCAGTTCCCTTCAGCAGCTTCCTCTCTTTCTTACTGACGATAAGCCTGCAGGACAACGAGGAACAGTAAGAATATCAGCAGACAAGTAAACCTATCAAGTCCTGGTGGTCCACTGACCTGCATGGTTCAGTTGGTTCTCTGCATCAGCCCACCTGAGTGACCTGACCAGAGAGTCAGCAGGTGCAGCTGAAACATGCAGGCTGGTGGACCACTAGGACCAGGTCTGGGGACCTCTGCTTTACATCGGTGAGCCACATGTGGTTTTAGTTTGGACAAGTGTGGTTCATAAAGAAACGGGTCAGACTGTTTGTGTGAAGGCTGATACAGAAACAAAGACCAAGGTCCACATGAAGGACAATTACGCTGTGATCTGGGACTCCATGAAGATGAGGATGAAGACCAGGATGGCTGGTAGGATGCTGGCTCCCATCATCCAAACTGGGAACTGTCCATCAAAACCCAGAGGAGAAACCAGCCAACCTCGTTTGTCCGGACTGGACACCGAGAATCCACTGGGCACGTTGAGTTTCTGCGGTCCAAAAAAGACAACAGTTCACCATGTGGCCTGACACCAGTTTCATGTAGAGGACTCAGGTAGGGGTTTCAGTTCTGACCTGGGTGTAGGTGTCTTTCATACTGTAGTCCACCAGAACCATGATGAGGATGGCGATGGGAACACCAAAGTCTCCGATGATCCTCCGGATCTGAAACACAGAGCGTTACTAATCAGTGGACGCAGGCAAGACATCCTGTCCTGGAAAGACCTGTCCTTGTGAACGTCATGCCCACACATGTTCCTGCACAAGTCTCCTTCAGTTTACATGGAACCGAGTCCATCTGGACTGGCCTGTCCCCTCGTAAATAAATTTAAACACATGGCATGATTTTCATTCATCCAACCTTTATTTCTAAGGTTAGTCTTTTTGAGTCACAAGGACTCATTTACAAGAGAGATGTGATATAAAAAAAGGACACAGAGGAGGTTCAGACAACAATAGACGATCAAATAAAAATCTCCTGATGCAGCTCAATAATCCAGGAAGAAAAATCTAAAACAGTTAAATCTGGTCCTCTGGACGTTCAAAGACAAAACAACACAAAAAAATTGTAGAAACGTTTCGTCTTTCATCTGAAAGACTTCGATTCTGTTAGATGTAATGTTGTTCCCTCACATGTTCTGTTAGACGTTCTGTTGTTCCCTCACATGTTCTGTTAGACGTTCTGTTGATCTGTCAGATGTTCTGTCAGATGTTCTGTCAGATGTTCTGTTAGACGTTCTGTTGTTCCCTCACATGTTATGTTAGACGTTCTGTTGATCTGTCAGATGTTCTGTCAGATGTTCTGTTGTTCCCTCACGTTCTATTAGATATTCTGTTAGATGTTCTGTTGTTGCCTCCCATGTTCTGTTAGATATTCTGTTGATCTGTCCGATTTTCTGTTGGACATTCTGTTGATCTGTCAGATGTTCTGTTAGATGTTTTGTTGATGTCTTACATGTTCTGTTAGACATTCTGTTGTTCCCTCACATGTTCTATTAGATATTCTGTTGATCTGTCAGATTTTCTGTTGGACATTATGTTGATCTGTCAGATGTTCTGTTAGACGCTCTGTTGTTCCCTCACATGTTCTGTTAGATATTCTGTTAGACGTTCTGTTGTTCCCTCACATGTTCTGTTAGACGTTCTGTTGATCTGTCAGATGTTCTGTTAGATATTCTGTTAGATCTAGCAAGGTTAAGTCAGGTCCTCTGGATGGATTCTTCTTTGTTGAAAGGTTTTGTCTTTTATATAAAAAGACTTCTTCACACTGAAGAAGTCTTTTGTATAAAGTCCCTAATCAGTACAAAAAACATCATGTACACAATGGTCCAAACAGACTTGAGCCTTAAACATCTGGACTCCTCTGGACCTCTGAGTGTTCCTGAAGGTGTCAGCAGAGTGTCCCTTGTGTTCTAGAAGTTGGTTTTAGTCATGGACCTCAGCTGGTACATGGTAGTTGGGGTTCTGACTCAGACTGCCCTAATATTCCAGGTAGAATTATCTGGTTCTGTTTCATCTAAGCTGTAACTTTGTACCACAACATTTCAGAACTGTTTGGTTGCAGAGCTGCCTAGAATTAAATCTATGTACACATGAACCCGTACCAATCCTGGTAAGTACTGACCCGTCCTGGAAAGAAAGAACTGTTCTTGAACTTCCGCAGGTAGAAAGCAATGAAATATGTTCCCGCCATGAGGACCAGTGACAGCAGCGCCGTGTTGGGTTCTCCAACAACTTCTCCAGGACTTGCTGGGATTATGGTGTAGTTGGAAAAAGATGAAGGTCCTGTGTGGTTTCTATGGTGATAGTTTTGAACTGGATGCTCCTTAAAGATCTAAAAGAGACCAACGGTGAAGAAGGTCAACATGTGAGATTTTCAGATGCGTCAGAGTTTGGACACACTGTTTTTGTGCAACTGTTAACTGTTTGTGCAGAGAATTTCCTCTTTTCTGATATTGTTATGTGGAACCCAACTGTACTTGAAGGGCTCTGAACTCACCTTGACTAGTTTGGCAAAGGTCTCGTAGATGAAGATGAGGGAGATGAGGAAGGAGAAGATTTCCTGAGTGAAGCGTGAAACAAAACGAACCAGGATGCTCCCCTCCAAAGCCACTGTGATGATGGCAATGAGCACCAACCAGAAGCCAATCCAAACCCGACCAGTCAGGTACTCAATCCCGTGGTCTTTACAGAACTGCCCAGAAACAGAAAGTGTGAAGGACATGTTGGAGAAAAATGTTCTCACTTTATTTTGCTTACTCAGAAGGAGCCACACTCAATGGCAGAAGATTTTTAAATGGTATTTTATTTGCAAGGACAGATTTTTAGGACAGGTTACACAGATATACAGGAAGTACACGCATGAAGACTAGTCATGAGAATCTGCCCTGAGTCATATGTGAAGTTTGCTTTTATACTCTTTATCAGTTCAGCTGAGCTCACAGACTCTGAGGTGTCTTTGGAGTGCCAGCTGCACGCTGCACCCTCATCCAGCTCCTCATCCAGCTCCCTCTGCTAACCCAAACATATCATTCATGGGCAGAGTTAGCATTTTCAGCCATAGTAGTAAAACATCCATGAACTTTGAACAAAAATTCCCTGACAGGAAGAACCTCAGGATTTATTTGAAACAAACACTAAACATGTTTCTGCTGCAGGGACAAAGATGGTTCTGGTATCTGGGATTGGGTCTGAATGAGAGAATTAACCGTCAGTGACTGCAGATGTGTGGAATCAGTGTCCAACTTCTTGTTGGTGAAATTATTTCCAGACAGTTTCACACTCACAACTCACAGTAAAGAAGGCTTCTTCAAAGATCAGCAGTGGTCCAGAGAACCCAATGATGAGCAGAGGTTGCGCTCCCAATATGCTGAACACTATTCCCTGCATCGCTGTGGCAACCATTAGCTCCGACACACCAATCAGACCCTCCGTTTTCTCTCCTGCATCACACAACAGAGGTCATACATCTTCAGATAGCATCTCCTTAAGGTGGCCCTGCAATGCTCAGACTTACCGAGGAGTCCACCGAAGGTGATGGCAGGAGACAGAGCAGCAAAGTAAATAAAAATTACGGCGGCCATACACTGAGGGTTCAGAGCATCTCGGATGTCGCTGAGGTACTGTGGGTAGCGCTGCGTCACGTCTTTGATCAGACCTCCAAACAGACGACCTGAACGCTTCAGAGGATCCCCACCAGACTTGGAAAGAACTAAAGAATCTGGAAGAAAAGACCACCAGATGTTAGACTCTAACATTTAAACAATTGGACTTAAAAATGTGTCAGGGGATTTTTGGGTCAATGTTATGAATGTTTTTATTGTTATGGCTGACTATACTGTCACTGAACATGCTTCTTTTGGGTAAACAATGTTACTGAGAGATTTTCTCCAACAAAACGGCCTGCACACCCAACACCAACATACTGACAACACGCCGGCTTCCATCAGAGAAACCTCCTTCACTCCTGACTCCGGCAGCTCACTCACTCAGAAATGTATTGAAAATGAACCTACAAAGTTTCAATGTTCAGCATTAGAATTAGAGATGGAGACCAAAACTAATTTTCTGAGTTTTTATGTCTACCATTGTTGTTAAAGAAGATGCTGAGACTACCTTGGTCCTGCTGAACACTGGGTCCTTCATCCTGAAGCTGCTTGTTCTCCTTCTTCTCTTCTTTTTGAAGTGTTTCTGTTTGAACGTGAGGGACGGACTGAAGCCAGTCATCACCGCTGACTTCAGAGGGGGGAAGGATGATGCTGCAGTCCAGGAAATGGTTTATAGCTGTCAGAAGCTCCTGGCGATCCTCTGCTCGGTATGCTGCCTCATAGAAGTTCTAGACAAACCCACAATGACCTCATCTGGCATCATCTGGTGGTTGTATCCAAGAAAACAACTGGCAGCATTTGTTTTCAAGAACTTACCTGGTCTGACATGAGCGTGGAGATCGAACGCCCGATCTGGTTATAGTCGTTGGAGGTGGGAGGGCCCAGCAGGAGGAACAGGAACCGGACAGGGATGGGAACCTCCATCACAGACTCCAACAGGACCGCCTTCTGCAGACGCACAAAAGCCATGCAGGTCTGGTCCAGGAACCCCATGCAGCCTGTAGACACAGAGGGGGATGGTTCTGATCCCAGTGAACCTGCTGCAAACTGGACCTGATCAGAGTTAAACCAGGTTGCAGCACTAATGTTCCTAACTGATCCACGTTACAACAACCAGACAACACATTTAAGGCTCTGAAGAACAATTTCAACTGAAAACAGCTGTTTTCTTTTAACTGGGATATTTTTATCAATCAGCTGTAGTTTGTCGGGTGAAAAAAAAAGTCAGGATTGTACTTAAAGTTCTGGTTCTGATGTTCAGAACAGATTCTTACCCACAAGAATGATGGTGGCCTCAGCTTGCCCGGAGATCTTTTGTTTGGATCTGACATGACAGAGTGATGGGACCTCTGTCTGAAAACAGGACCGGTCAGAAGATCACAGCTGGCTCTGAGCTGGCAGCATCACTGCTCACCTGGCTCCTCATAAACTGGATGTTTCCTCTTACCTGTTTTCTCTCCACGGCAGCCTCCCTGTCATTGGTCAGGCTGGGGGGAAGCTCTGATTGGCTGATTCCTCTGTCTATGAGGGAAGCCATGTTGGCTGCAGAGATGTTCCTGCTGAACCAGCTGGGATCCTTCTGATCACTGGGGTGACTAGAAGAAGAAGAACGTAGTGATGGATGACTGATGGACAGGTGTGACTGCAGGTGCACAGGTGTGGACACCTACCTGTGTGGCACCAGCAGAGCTCTCAGCACTTTGTCTCGATCTTCATGTTTGATCTGATCTGAAATCAGCAGCTGCTCCACGACCTGCTGAGCAATACCAGGCAGAGAGTTCTGCTGCAGGTCCAGAATAACGGAACCTGAACCAAGAGAACATCTTCAGCACCACTTCCTCCTCCTTCCCTCCTCCCACTCCTCCTTCACCTCCTCCTCTTCCTTCCCCCTCCTCCTCCTCCTCTTCCTCACCATGGCAGATGGTTTCTCGTAGCTCCAGCAGGGAGCAGAAGGACAGTGAAGTGAAGCGGGTCCTGGTCCAGTTCTCCTCCTGTCCTTGCTCCTCAGAGTGTATCCACTGAGCCATCTCCCTCCACTGCACCTCCTGGTCCCGGTCCATCACCAGCTCCTTCAGCTCCACAAACACCTGCCGCACAGACACACCTGTCACACGTCTCATACACAATGAAGAGCAGGATGAGTCAAGAAGGGAGTCTTCTGAGGCCTCCACAACAAACCCGTTCATATTCAGGTCATGAGACCAGACCCAGAACCAGAAACAGAACCAGACCCAGACCCAGAACAAAGGAGTTCAAAAGATTAGAGCAGGACGACTCGTCTTCATCAAAAAAAAAAAAAAACCCGAAGACAAGAAGAAGAGAAATAAACCTGCAGCTCTACCTGGTTCTGATGAGTCATCAGGTCCAAACCCACAATGGTGATCCTCTAGACCAGAACCAAATGAGCTGCAGCAAAGCCTGAGGCCAGACCCCACCTGTGTGACTCCACCTGTTGAAGTGGGTCCAGTTCATCACTTGGATTAAGCTGCTGACACTCCCAGCTCCACTTTCATTCATCTCATTAGCTCCAAACATTCCAGAACCTCACTGGACCCGGTTCACACAGAAACAGACCTCACTCAGACCCAACCCCTGACGGGGGGAGATCAGAACAAAACGTAGTTCGTATGAACATCTGGATCAGAAACAAAATATGGTTCGTGTGAACATCTGGGTCAGAACAAGTCATTGTTCATACGAACATCTGTATCAGAAACAAAATATGGTTCATGTGAACATCTGGGTCAGAAACAAAATATGGTTCATGTGAACATCTGGGTCAGAACAAGTCATTGTTCATACGAACATCTGGATCAGAACAAATCATTGTTCATATGAACATCTGTATCAGAAACAAAATATGGTCCATGTGAACATCTGGGTCAGAAACAAAATATGGTTCATGTGAACATCTGGGTCAAAACAAATCATTGTTCATACGAACATCTGGATCAGAACCAAACTTCAATCATACAAACATCTGTAACAGAACAAAACAGGAAATGAAAAACAGTCATGTTAAATGTAACTTCCTGTCTTACAGGAAGTCTTCTCTTCGAGTCTTCAGGTTTCGTGCTCGGGCTCTAAAATGATTCTAATCATAGCTGTAGAGAACTTAAACACCCAGCAGCGTCCATCGAGTTTGTATTAACCTGGTTCTGTGTCTGCTGCTTCCACAGAGCCTCAGAGGTCCAGGATCAGGAGCTGCTGGTCCTCTGATCCTCATCTGGAGGTTCTGTTGTTCTGGAGCAACCAGGTGTGAGGTAATACAACACCAAGGTGGAAAGACATCAGCATTGACTTCAGAGAATAAGCTGCTGCTGCCTGTCAACCTAGGAAAGGTCATTCAGAGTCCATAGTTCTACAGAGAGACATTCACCCTGAAGGTCAGACTGTGCAATGAGCTTCATCTCAGCCCCTACAGTTCTCATTTAGCAGGTCAAATGTCAACATGGCAGCATGACTGGCTTGAAACATTTTCTCTGAAGGAACCACAAAACGTTTGGACAGAACCAGTTCAGAGGACAGAGGTTTACCCAGAGTGAGGAACAAAGATGGTCTTTCAGAGAACCACTGGGAGTTCTGCTGCTGCAGGAGGTTCTGGGTCAGAGGCTGGAACCAGTTTTTACTACATTTACCATGTCATGACCCATCTGCAGTGGCGGCACCGGTTAGCGGTGCAGTACTCCAGCAAGAATCAGAGGTTGTTGTTGAAGGGTCTCTGAGAAAGACACTGAACCTGTTGTTGTCCCCATGTCCCCCATCTGGGTCTGAATGTGATCCACTGGGTCTGAATTCTGAATTCTTCTAGGACAGATGTAATCTTCATCTCTGAAACCTGGCTCAACAAATCTGTACTGAATAATGACCTGGTAATGAATGGATTTAACATCTATCGCTGTGATCTTCAAACAAGGGGGGCTGGAGTTGCTATTTACATTAGAGATTCTCTGGTTGCTAGTCTTGTGTCTTCAAAAACAATTCCTAACCAGTTTGAGGCCTTAGCTGTAAACATCACTTTGAATGGAGGCCAGATTTTATCTGTAGTGGGTTGTTATCGTCCCCCCTTAGCAACACCTGAGGCTTTGTCCTCCCTGATGGAATTCCTTGGTAATTTAAAATTCGAAGAGATCTTTTTTGCAGGAGACTTCAACATTGACTGGGATAAGTCGACCCCCCTCTGTGATAAATTCAAGGAATGTTGCCTGTCTCTCAATCTAACCCAATTGATCAACTCTCCCACTAGATTAAACAAAAGCCGTCCTGAAAAGTCCTCCATCTTAGACCTGTTTCTAACAAACATGCCTCACAAATTCCCTGGTACAGGTGTATTCGCTGACATTTTGAGTGATCATTGTGTGACAGTGGCTTTGAGAGATATTAAACTTCCACCTTCTAAGCCCAGATTAATTCAAAAAAGGGATCTGAAATGTTTTTGTGAACAGTCATTCCTCTGGGATCTGTCTCACTTTGACTGGCATCGTATTCTATTAACTGATGACTTGAACTCCGCTTGGAACTATTTTCATAATAATTTCATTTATTTTGTGAACATACATGCTCCTTTTCATCAGTTCAGAATAAAGGGACGAGACAGCCCCTGGTTTACTCCAGAGCTAGCTGACCTCCTGCACAGGAGAGATCATCTTTTTTAATTTTTTTTTTCCTGCTACTCTACAGTGAAACCAGACGTGTTTTCCCTCTCTGCCCCCCCACCCGCTTCCCTGCTGCGCTCTTTTGTCCTGTGAACCCTTAAAAAGACTCTTTTTTTTCCTGCATACCTCTTAATTGGAAGGATCAGCTGGTCTCTCAACAAAATCGATCAACTTCTCCCGGCAGGAGTCAGGGTAAGGAGGACCCTCTGAACTCTAAGGAACAAATTGGATTCATGATGACGACTAGAATCTACTGTTTGGTTGGTGGAATCTGGTTGTCTACAAATTCGGGTGGAGGTGTTGAAGCTTGACAGTGCTCGGACTGAATGTGGAGCTGTGACAGGGAATTGGAGCAGCTGTTATCAGGACTGTGATCTCCCTGGCAGCACTCATGAATGGTGGAATAATCTGGAGAAGCTGTGAGCTCGACTTTTGGAGTAAAGGATCAATTCGGCTGTTTTGGAGTTTCCATCAGAGAATATGTACCAGCGAGACTTTAAAGGCAGAAACAACAATTAAGAGTTCTGCCTGACCCAAACTGTGGCCTTGATGCCGGACTTATCTCAACTCCTCCTGGAATGTTCAGGAAACAACAAAGATGCTTTGACTGTTTCCTCACCCCTCCCTTCCCCAAGGCCGTGGACATGTGACAGAACCTCAACTGAGCTGAAGATGAACGTCACCTCTTATCTGGACAATGGCTGAGGGGGGGCTCTGGACTATGCTACGACTTTCCCTTAAAGATTCTCTGTCTTCACCGCCTGTATGTTCATGTATAACGTCTGTTTATGTTGCTTTGCTGTGGAGGTTTGTTTGATGCTTCAAATCGTGCCCTGTCTAGGACACGGAGTGAGAGATCTTTTTTTTATACCGTCTCTCCTCATGTTTTCTTTCCTTTACTCATCTAAGCAAAATATTATTCTGAATAAGAATAAGAGGCCGCGCTGATTATTTTGGCTGCAGCTTCGTGCACTCCGCCCATCTTCGGACGACTGTACGTACATGTTCTCGTTGTATTTCGGTGCAATGTCAATAAAGTTTATTCTGATTCTGATTCTGATCTTTGGGCCACAGTGAGAAAATCTGACTCAGACACTGATTGGTTGAGTTTTCAACAGATGAGGAATAAATGCACAACTGCTGTTAAAGCAGCAAAACGAAACTATTTCTTATCTCAGACCTCCAAAAATCTAAATGACCCCAACAGATTCTGGAAAACCATCAAATCTCTCTCAGGCAGCCCCCAATCATCTGACCTCCCATCACAACTTCTCATTAACTCTGAAGATCAGCCACTTCACTTAATAACCAAACGTCTACAAATCAAATCCCTCCTACAAGTCAATCCTCAGTTAATCACAGCTTCTCTTTTTCTCCGTTCTCAGTCAGTGAGGTCAATAAACTGTTAAAAGATCTTGACCCTAAAAAATCTGCAGGTCCAGATGAACTTCCACCTTATTTCTTAAGGCTGGCTGCTCATATCATCACAGTCCCTGTGACCCACATCTTCAATCTCTCCATAAGACAAAACTCCATCCAGACACTTGAAAACAGCCTTTGTTCTTCTTTGCTGAAGGGAGGTGACCCACCTCACTGAACAACTATGGACCAATCTCTAAACTCTGCATTTTAGCCAAGGTTCTAGAAAAACTGATAAACTCTCAAATCAGTCAACAATGGTGTACCATTCGCCTTATAATCTAGCTGTTTTTGTTACTTTTGTTTTTTAGCCATCCTATTTGTTTAAAAAATAAAATCAAAAATAAATTTGTATGCCTTTTTATAACTGTTTATTGTTGTTGCTGTTGTCCATTGTTGTCATCATTCTTTGTTAAATCAGGTCTCTGTTGTAAATGAGTCCTCGAGGCTCAATGGGATTTACCTGTAGAAATAAAGGTTGAATGAATGAATGAATGTGATCCAAAGCTGTGATCGTCTCTGGAGAAGGATTTACTGTGTGTGTTGTTAATGTGTGTGTTTGCGTTGCAAAGCTCTTGAGTTGCTTTGTTGACCAGAACTGTCCTGTTCTGGTTCAGTTTCAGGTTCAGTCCATCCCAGTTCACTTGTTCTGTTTCCACAGAGAATCAACTGAAATCAAGAACCAGCTGAAACTCTTTGGACCCCTCACCTGTCCTCACCTGTCCTCACCTGTCAAGTACCAAGGCTTTCAGGTAAACAGTGTCAGAAATAGTTTAAGTAAAATGATGTCTAGGCTCAAAGCGCCTTTGAAACTGGCCCACATTAAGCTCCTCCCCCTCACCTTGGGAGGTGAGCGGATCGCTCGCTTGTACTCCTCGTTTGTCGGCTCGATGATCTCATCTTTGGAAGCGTTACATCTCCGCCTCACCAGGTGATGCTGAATCCCTGAGGTGTTGTCCACTCGTTGTCCTAAAAGGGCAGAGTCAGTACTGAGAAAATATTTGACGGTTTATGTACATCCTTTTAAACAGAGACACCACAAAACTAAACCACCACTGGTCACATGACTTACAATCACCGTCAGTCACTTTGAGATACATATTGATTTAGAGGAATTGTGACAGTGTTTTAATTTCAATAAAATTAGTTTTTCCTGGAAGAATAAATTTGCTTTAAATGGTCTAAAAATTTCTAGAGAAAATAAAAAGGGTTGTAAGCTCTATTATTCAGGTAGATAACAACAAAGACGTTAACTCGTGTCATCTGGACCAGTTTCTTTAAGGTGTCCAGATGACACGAGTTAACCTTTTTTGTTTGATTGAGTTTACAAACTTTTTCTGAACCACTTTGGCGTTGTTTGTCCTCAGGATGTTTCTGTGAGTAGCAAGTTGGCCATCTGTCCTTAAACATGTGATTATTGTACATGATGATTGGTTGTTTTGGACGAGTTAAAAACCGACTTGATAATTATATATGACTTAAACCAATTTAGAGCTGTTCCTTTACTCTCAATATCATATTCAAGGTCAAGGTCAAAGTTTCTTTATTGTCATTCTCATAACATGTGGTACAGGGTCCCAGTTACATCCAACAATAAAATGTCAAAGAAAAACAGTGATAACATCAAAGATATGAACTAAGAAAAACAGCTAAAAATACAATAAGCACTAGTAGCATAAAAACAACACGCCCAACAGCAGCACGAACATGAGTCTGTGTGAGCAGATGAGCACGAATGAACACATGAACATGAAGCAGATCAGCAGCAACATGAAACTGATCAGCAGCAACATGAAACTGATCAGCAGCAGCATGATGTGATTTTTCACAGTGATTATTCTGGTTATAGATTCATGAGTCTAACAGCCTCATGGTAGAAGCTGTTCCTCAGTCTAGTGGTTCTACACTTAATGCTCCTTAACCTCCTTCCTGAGGGGAGCGGGGCAAAAAGTGTGTGTGCTGGGTGAGTGTGGTCCTTCATGATGCAGGTGGCCCTCTTCCTGCATCTGGAGGTGTAGATGTCTGTGATGGTGGGGAGGCTGACTCCAACATCTTCTGTGCAGCCTTCACCACTCTCTGCAAAGCTTTTCTTTCTGCAGCTGTGCAGCCTCCATGCCACACGTTGATGCTGGAGCACAGGATGCTCTCCACTGCACACCTGTCGAAGGAGGTGAGGACTGAGCTTCCAGACCAGCTCGTCTCAGCCACCTGAGGAAGTAGAGTCCGTAGGTAGACTTCACTGCTGTGTTTCAAGCCAATCTCCCATTGGAATCTCAAAAATAGGCTTTTAACACGTGCAAAACACACCCATCCAAAACAATCAATCATCATGAAAAACAATCAAATGTTTAAGGCCAGATGGCCAACTTGCTTTGGGGAGTGGTGGTGCAGAGGCTAGAGAAGATGGGCCTATGATTGGAAAGTCGCGGGTTCAACTCCCAGTACTGTCAACATCAAAATGTGGGTGGAACAGATGAAACACCCACACCTGCCTCCACCCTTATTTGCCCCACTCTGGGCCCCTGAGCAAGACCCTTAACCCCCACCATCTGCTCCTGAACAGGTCTCTCTTGAAAATGAGTTCTCCTGACTCAATGAGACTACCTGGATAAATAAAGGGTAAATTAAAAAAAAAACATCTATCTGATAGATTCCAGTTTGTAAATGTAAATAATAAATCTTCTTCATACACCAAAGTTAGTCATGGAGTTCCTCAAGGTTCAGCGCTTGGACCAATACTGTTTACCTTATATATGCCTCCATTAGGTAAAGTTATTAAACAGCATGGGATACATCCTGATGCATGCTCAATAATCCAGGTAGAAAAATCTAAGCAAGTTAAGTCTTGTCCTCTGGACATTCAAAAAACAAAATAAGTCAAAACAACAAAAAATTGTTGAAACGTCTCGTCTTTCATTCAAAAGACTTCCTCAGTCTGAGGTGCTGTATTCAGCTCAGTCTTATAAATAGCACCTTCTCAGAGTGGATCAACCAGTTTGCTGCAGCAAAGACTGAAGAAATCTTTTGGATGAAAGACAAAATGTTTATACTTTTTTTTTTTAGTTCGTTTTACTTTGTTTTGTTTTTTGAATGTCCAGAGGACCAGACTTAACTTTTTTAGAATATGGGATAAATGTTCATTGTTATGCTGATGACACACAGTTATATTTGTCCATTAAACCCAGTGAATCCAATCAGCTACTTAGACTACAAGCATGTCTTAAAGACATAAAAACCTGGATGACCCTTAATTTTCTCCTGTTGAACAGACAAGACTGAGGTTTTGGTTTTTGGACCTGAGCACCTTAGGAATGAATGTTTCAGTCTTTCTCCCTCCTTAGATGCATTAATCTGTCCTCCAGCTCTAATGTTAAAAATCTTGGTGTTATTTTTGATCAGGACATGTCTTTTATCCCCCACATTAAAAACGTTACTAGAACCTCCTTCTTCCACCTGCGTAATATCACTAACATTAGAAACATCTGATCTAAAGATGATGCAGAAAAACTGCTCCATGCATTTGTCACGTCTAGACTGGACTATTGCAATGGTTTATTATCTGGGTGTCCAAATACTTCTTTAAAACGTCTTCAGTTGATCCAAAATGCTGCTGCCAGAGTCTTAACTGGAGTTACTGGGAGAGATCATATCTCTCCAGTTTTAGCTTCTCTCCATTGGCTCCCTGTCAAATCCAGAATAGAATTCAAAATCTTACTTCTAACCTACAAAGCCCTCAACAACCTAGCTCCATCTTATATTACAGATCTTATTATTCCATATTTTACTAACAGAGCACTTTGCTCTCAGACTGCAGGTTTACTTGTGGGTCCTAGAGTTTACAAAAACAGAATGGGAAGATCTTTCAGTTCTCTGGCTCCTCTCTTGTGGAACCAACTTCCAGTTTCTGTCCGTGAGGCTGACACATTGTCCAGTTTTAAGACTCATCTGATCTGCGGCCACATGTCTTGGACACTCAGGTGAAGAGAGGGGCGGAGCTGTCCACTGATCACTACCTGGTGGTGAATTGGCACAGATGGTGGGGGAGGATACTGGTCAGACCTGGCAGGCCCAAATGTATTGTTAGGGTCTTCTGGGAACGTCTGGCAGAATCTCCCGTGAGATGGAGCTTTAACTCCCACCTCCGGGAGAGTTTCAAACACGTACCAGGGGAGGTGGGGGACATGGAGTCCGAGTGGGCTATGTTCCGTGCCTCTATTGTCGAGGTGGCTTATCGGAGCTGTGGCCGTAAAGTTGTCGTGCCTGTCGCAGCGGTAACCCTCAAACCTCGTGGTGGACACCGGCGGTGAGGGATGCTGTCAGGCTGAAGAAGGAGTCCTATCTGGCCTTTTTGGCCTGTGGGACCCCGGGAGCAGCTGATGGCTATCGGCATTCTAAGCGGCATGCGGTTCAGGTGGTTGCTGAGACAAAAACTCAGGCATGGGAGGAGTTCTGAGAGGCTATGGAGAATGACTTCCGTTCGGCTTTGAGGCGATTCTGGTCCACCATCCAGCATCTCAGGGTGGGAAAGCGGTACACTACCAACACTGATTATAGTGGCGTTAGTGTACTACTGACTTCAACTCGGGATGTCGTGGGCCAGCGGGAAGAATACTCGAAGACCTCCTCAATCCCACTGGCATGTCTTCCACTGAGGAAGCGGAGCCTGGGGACTTAAGGTCGGGCCCTCCAATCTCTGGTGCTGAGGTCACTGAGGTGGTTAAAAAGCTCCTCGGTGGCAGGGCCCCAGGGGTGGATGAGATTCGCTCGGAGTTCCTTAAGGCTCTGGATGTTGTGGGGTTGTGTTCGCTTACGCGACTCTGCAATATTGTGTGGACATCGTTGTCAACATGACAACATTGTTGTCATCATTCTTTGTTGAAATCAGGTCTCTCTTGTAAATGAGTCCGTGAGGCTCAATGGGATTTACCGTCTAAATAAAGGTTGAATGAACATTGGGAACAGTTCCCCTGGATTGGCAGAACAGGATGGTGGTCTCCCTATTCAAAAAGGGGGACCGTAGAGCATATGTGTCAAACTCAAGGCCCGGGGGCCAAATGTGGCCCTCGTTGACATCTTATCTGGCTCCCAAGATAATATTTTAAATGTAAAATACTTTTATCATTTAATTTTTTTCAGTAATCTTTGATTATGATGTCAAAAGTGGAACAGATACTGTCAAATGAGACCAATCAAACTCTTGTTGAGGAACCTGCAATCGGGAAAAGATGATGGTAACTAACTTGAGTTAATGTAGATTCTGAAACCAGCCCTTAGTTTGAAAAAGGTTTTAATTTTGGCCCCCTTTTGTAAGTGCGTTTGACACTCCTGCCATAGAGTGTTTTCCAACTACAGGGGGATCACGCTCTTAAGCCTCCCTGGTAAGGTCTATTCAGGGGTTCTGGAGAGGAGGTCCGTCGGATAGTCAAACCTCAGATTCAGGAGGAGGAGTGCGGTTTTCGTCCTGGTCGTGGAACACTGGACCAGCTCTACACCCTCAGCAGGGTCCTGGAGGGAGCATGGGAGTTTGCCCAACCCGTCTACATGTGCTTTGTGGACTTGGAGAAGGCATTCAACCGCATCCCTCGGGGAACCCTGTGGGGGGTACTCTGGGAGTATGGGGTACCAGGCCCTTTGATATGGGCTGTTAGGTCCCTGTATGATCGGTGTCACAGCCTGGTCCGCATCGCCGGCAGTAAGTCAGGCTCATTCCCGCTGAGAGTTGGACTCCGCCAAGGTTGCCCTTTGTCACCAATTCTGTTCATAACTTTTATGGACAGAATTTCTAGGCACTGTCATGGTGTTAATGGGATCCGTTTTGGTGGCCTTAGGATCGCTTCTCTGTTTTTTGCAGATGATGGGGTCTCTCATCAGGTCATGATCTACAGCTTTTGCTGGAGCGGTTAACAGCCAAGTGTGATGCGGCCGGGATGAGGATCGGTTCCTCTAAATCCGAGGCCATGATCTTGAGCCGGAAAAGGGTAGAGTGCCCTCTCCGGATTGGGGAGGAGGTCCTGCCCCAAGTGGAGGAATTCAAGTATCTTGGGATCAAATGAGGGAAAATGGAGTGAGAGATCGATAGACATTTTGGGTTTTCATGAGCTGTATGCCATAATCATCAGTATTAAAACAATTAAAGACCTGAAATATTTCAGTTGGTGTGCAATGAATCTGAAATATATGAAAGTTTCATTTTTATCATTACATTATGGAAAATAATGACCTTTATCACAATATGCTCATTTTTTGAGAAGGACCTGTACGTTCCCACCCTCATCTATGGTCATGAGCTTTGGGTTGTGACCAAAAGAACGAGATCTCGGATACAAGCAGATGAAATGAGTTTTCTCCGCAGGGTGTTTAGGCTCTCCCTTAGAGATAGGGTGAGAAGCTCGGTCATCCGGGAGGGACTCAGAGTAGAGCCGCTGCTTCTCCACATCGAGAGGAGCCAGTTGAGGTGGTTTTGGCATCTGGTTAGGATGCCTCCTGGACGCCTCCCTGGTGAGGTGTTCCGGACACGTCCCACCAGGAGGAGACCTAGGGGAAGACCCAGGACACGCTTGAGGGACTGTTTCTCAGCTGGTCTGAGAACCCCTTGGAATTCCCCCAGAGAAGCTGGCCCAAGTGGCTGGGGAGAAGGAAGTCTAGGCCTCCCTACTTAAGCTGCGACCCGACCCCAGATAAGCAGAAGAAAATCGATTGAAAACTGAATAGTTTTCATTTGATACTATTTCTATCTTAACATGTGATTCTTGACCTGCCATTGTGTATCTGTTCCTACCAAACCCGGCCGGTCGAAGCAGATGGCCGCTTGTCCTGAGCCTGGTTCTGCTAAAGGTTTCTTCCTCATGAGGGAGTTTTTCCTTTCCACTGTCGCCTTCATGCTTGTTCAACATGAGAGTTCAGTGATGGAGTTAAACTCAAAACAGTCTGCTCCTCAGATAAATAATGTTCAATTATTATTTTATATATTAATGTTTCGGCAGCACGGTGGCACAACTGGTAGAGCTGCTGCCTCTCAGCGAGCAGGTCCCTGGTTCAAACCCCGGTCCAGGGGCCTTCTGTGGAGTTTGCATGTTCTCTCCGTGCATGCGTGGGTTTTCTCCGGGTACTCCGGTTTCCTCCCACAGACCAAAAACATGCATGTTAGACTGATTGGTAACTCTAAATTGTCCCTAGGTGTGGGTGAGAGAGTGAATGGTTGTTTGTCTCTATGTGTCCCTGTGATGGACTTGCGACCCGTCCAGGGTGTCCCCCGCCCCTCGAACAGTGATTGCTGGACATGGGCACCAGCGACCCCCGTGACCCAAAATGGAATAAGCGGGTAAAGATAATGGATGGATGGATATTAATGTTTCTGTTCAGTCCCTGAGACGACTTCTGTTGTGACTTGGAGCTTTAGAAATAAACTGAATTGAAGTGAATTGGTCTGCGAATGACAAACCTGAACCCAGTTCTGAAGCCAGGTGCCCAACTAACGGTCATATGACAAACATTAGTCTGGCGACCCCACGAGCTCCATGTCTCACACAGCATCAGTCCCATGGGAACCTTTGACTCCTAATTGGATCTCTGGCTCAGCTGAACAGAGTCTGACAGAACGGTTCAATCAGCCTAAAGCTGCTCACACAGGTGTGCTCTGACATCAGCAGCAGGTGAGAAAACACTCAGGTTTCAACAGGAATGGGATTTATTGTTAATCAGGATGTTTTCACATCAGTTTTTTGCCAAGAACAGCCAATCACAGCCCAGCAGGTGGTCAGCTGACCTTTTCCTGGTGAGATGAGTGAAGGTGATGCTTCCTGGCTGCAGGTCATCTCTGTCACAACTGAACATAAGCAGGGTCAGCAATTCTTATTGAAAAAGAACGATTACAAGAATGTCAGGATTAATGCTGGTTAACTCTAACAAAAACTACAGGTTAACCCAAACGTAGGTTAACTCTACCTGTGGGCAAGGCATTCCTTCCAGGTGACCCAGTGACACCTTCAGGTGAGCTCAGGAGTGTCTGAGCATCAGGTTCAAGGTTCAAGGTTCAAGTTTCTTTATTGTCATTCGCATCACATGGTTTGGATGAAGCTATTGTTTTTGACAATTCAGAGAGCTCAACGGGACAAAAACTGTCCAAACATAGTTCAGTCTAAAGACATTTTTAAAGAGCAGACAGCAGCATCATGTTAATCTGACAACAACAGAACCAGAATTTAAAATCGATTCAGTTCATTTATATAGCGCCAGTTCATAACAGAAGTCATCTCACGGCATTAAACAAAAACATTCATATACATAATGTAAAATTTAAGAGCAAACAAAACACCTTCCAATGAAAAATGAAAACCTTTGGAGGGAACTCAACAGCCTTCTGGTGAAACACACGAACAATCTAACACAAGAATGAAACCAACTGACGGAACACAACAATCATCTGACATAACACAAGAACTGTCTGATGGAACACAAGAACCATCTGACAGAACACAAGAACTGTCTGATGGAACACAAGAACCATCTGACATAACACAAGAACCATCTGATGGAACAGATGAGCTGTTTGATATAACAAAATAACTATCTGTAAGAACACAAGAACTACCTGACACAATACAAATATTATCTGACGAAACACAAGAACTGTCTGATTAAACACAAGAACTAACTAATGGAACACATGGACCGTCTGTCAGAACTCAAGATTCGTCTCACAGAACCCAAGAAGAATCAGATGGAATACAAAAATCATCTGAAAGAATCCAGGAATCATGTTATGGAATAAAATAACTATCTGACAGAACACTTAAACCATCTGACAGAATGCAAGAACCATCGGACAGAACACAAGAACCATCGGACAGAACACAAGAACCATCTGACAGAACACAAGAACAGTCTGACAGAATACAAGAACCATCTGATTGAACACAAGAACTATCTACCGGAACACAGGACTGTCTGTCAGAACACAAAAACCATTTCACAAAACCCAAAAACTATATGATGGAGCACAAAAATCATCTGA